AAGGAGGCGCGCTATCGTCCCAATTGAAAGAACTACAATATTAAATCGAAACCTGATTAGATGTTAATGACAGCAATTTACACATATATTCATGTCTGAATTGATAACTATGTTTGTACTCATATACATGTATAATAAAAAACAACAGTTTTTTTTTTATATTGCACATTGATTTCAGTTTTTAGTTACCAAGTGAAAAGTAACTGTACTCGCATATTTCTGAACAATGATAATGTCGGCATATTTGAAAAGCAGAAATAAAAAAAATTTGGCTCAGGTACAAATAAGTTGTAAATTGTATAACTTTACTCTGAATGGTCACAACTCTTAAAACCAACTGTGCTTCTATTGCAGGTTTTCATCTTTTTTCATCATTTGTTGGAAATCTTCTTTCATTTATGTCACCTCTCCCGACAGTTTCAAAGTATGATCAATAATTTGGGTACTTTCTAATTTTTTCACATGTCCCCCGCAAATGCTTCACTACAAAAACATAAGTGGTTGCAGAACAAATTATAGAGATAATGTCAATATCTACCAAAAGTGCGCCTCCAGTGGCGGGTCAATTTTTATATACTCGCTGTGTTCTAGTTTATGTTTTACAGAAAGGGAGGCGTGCTGTCGTTCCAACTACTGCACTATAGCCATCATGTGACAAATACGAAGTAGTCAAGGCGGAATAAGATTTTGAAATAACACACTACCAGAATTTGGGATGGAGAATTTTGTATGACATTGAGAGTAGAAACTGACCCATATTCATATACTACCAAACTCCTTGTCAAGTCCAAGGCCACTGCAAATCACATTTGAAAATCTCCCAGAAGAAGCATACTTGTACTTGCGTATGGAGCAATTTCACCAAGCAGAATGACCCCATAGCACTGGAGTTAAATGCGGTCATTACTAGAGGTGGGTTTCTTTGTATAATCCACGGCAGCTAACAACTGTGTGGGTGTTGTGTCTAGAAGTTTGAGTGAGGCACGTGATACTTGTACAACATTGTGTTCATGGCGATAGATTTAATTATATGTCTACTTGACAGCGTATTTGTCTTAAAGGGCGGTAGTCGTCGCACCGCGTCTTGTTCGATATGGGACTCATAGCGACGTATACAACGCGTGTAAAATATATTGTTTATTTACATGATATTCGAACACGCGCTGCGCGACGACCACCGCGCCTTAACTTTCTGATCTTTTCGTTACTCGTTAACTACAATATTTAAAGAAAGAAAACATTCACCTACATTCAAATGAGTGCCTTTTATAATACTTATAACATTTGATACTTTTAAAATTACATAGTACTATACAATCCTGGATCAAGGGTGTTACCAAGATATTCACAGTTATAATCAGCATATGTAAGGCCAAGTACACTAGCCGTTTGAGGGAGTTTAGTTTTATGCTAGACTATTTCGTCCCATATTATGGCTAATATTTGTAATCCCATATAGTTATAAACAACAAAAACACAGAAACATCTTGCGAATGCTTATTATCACGTATTACACGTAGTGATGTGCCTGAAATAAGTAACGATGTGACTGCAACACGTAATGATGTATCTACAACACGCGGGGATATATCCGCGGTACATAATGATAAAACTACATCATGTCATGACGTACCTGCGACACGTAATGGGTTACGTTGTGGTGTATCTGCGACACGTGATGGGTTACGTTATGGTGTTCCTGCGACACGTAATGGGTTACATTATGGTGTATCTGTCACACGTTATGGTGTATCTGTGACACGTAATGGGTTACGTTATGGTGTATCTGCGACACGTAATGGGTTACGTTATGGTGTATCTGCGACACGTAATGGCTTACGTTGTGGTGTATCTGCGACACGTAATGTGTTACGTTATGGTGTATCTGTCACACGAAATGTGTTACGTTATGGTGTATCGGTGACACGTAATGGGTTACGTTGTGGTGTATCTGTGACACGTAATGGCTTACGGTGTGGTGTATCTGCGACACGTAATGGGTAACGTTATGGTGTATCTGTGACACGAAATGTGTTACGTTATGGTGTATCGGTGACACATAATGTGTTACGTTGTGGTGTATCTGCGACACGTAATGGGTTACGTTATGGTGTATCTGCGACACGTGATGGGTTACGTTATGGTGTTCCTGCGACACGTAATGGGTTACATTATGGTGTATCTGCGACACGTAATGGGTTACGTTATGGTGTATCTGCGACACGTAATGGGTTACGTTATGGTGTATCTGCGACACGTAATGGGTTACATTATAGTGTATCTGCGACACGTAATGGGTTACGTCATGGTGTATCTGCGACACGTAATGGGTTACGTTATGGTGTATCTGCGACACGTAATGGGTTACATTATGGTGTATCTGCGACACGTAATGGGTTACGTTATGGTGTATCTGCGACACGTAATGGGTTACGTTATGGTGTATCTGTGACACGTAATGGGTTACGTTATGGTGTATCTGTGACACGTAATGGGTTACGTTATGGTGTATCTGCGACACGTAATGGGTTACATTATAGTGTATTTGCGACACGTAATGGGTCACGTTATGGTATGTCCGCGACACGTAATGGGTTACGTTATAGTGTATCTGCAACACGTAATTACACGTTACTGCGACACGTAATGGTTACGTTATGGTGTATCTGCGACACGTAATGGGTTACGTTATGGTGTATCTGCGATACGTAATGGGTAACGTTATGGTGTATCTGTGACACGTAATGGGTTACGTTATGGTGTATCTGCGATACGTAATGGGTAACGTTATGGTGTATCTGTGACACGTAATGGGTTACGTTATGGTGTATCTGCGACACGTAATGGGTTACGTTGTGGTGTATCTGTGACACGAAATACGTTACGTTATGGTGTATCTGTGACACGTAATCGGTTACGTTATGGTGTACCTGCGACACGTAATGGGTTACATTATAGTGTATCTGCGACACATAATGGGTTACGTAATGGTGTGTCTGCGACATGTAATGGGTTACGTTATAGTGTATCTGCGACACGTAATTACACGTTACTGCGATACGTAATTGTTACGTTTTGGTGTATCTGTGACACGTAATGAGTAATGTTACGGTGTATCTGCTACACGTAATGGGTAACGTTATGATGTATCTGTGACACGAAATGGGTTACGTTATGGTGTATCTGCGACACGTAATTACACGTTACTGCGACACGTAATGGTTACGTTATGGTGTATCTGTGAGACGTAATGGTTTATGTTACGGTGTATCTGCGACACGTAATGGCTTACGTTGTGGTGTAACTGCTACACGTAATGGGTTACGTTATGGTGTATCTGTGACACGAAATGTGTTACGTTATGGTGTATCTGTGACACGTAATCGGTTACGTTATGGTGTATCTGCGACACGTAATGGGTTACATTATAGTGTATCTGCGACACATAATGGGTTACGTAATGGTGTGTCTGCGACATGTAATGGGTTACGTTATAGTGTATCTGCGACACGTAATTACACGTTACTGCGATACGTAATTGTTACGTTTTGGTGTATCTGTGACACGTAATGAGTAATGTTACGGTGTATCTGCTACACGTAATGGGTTACGTTATGGTGTATCTGCGACACGTAATTACACGTTACTGCGACACGTAATGGTTACGTTATGGTGTATCTGTGAGACGTAATGGTTTATGTTACGGTGTATCTGCGAT